TGGCGACTCCGTTACTGACTGGTAACTTTCCGTCGGTCTTCATCAGCCATTGCTGTGCTGCCACGCCCCCCCCCCCCGACCTGCCAAAAGGCGGTGAGGAGGTTTGCCGACTGATCGCCGACTTTTCGTAACCTGCCTCAATCCTCAAGCAGCTTACGCGATCCTTGGTAACCTGGCGATGACCAGGCCGGTGTAATTTTCGATGACGTCAACACCTTGACTGGCACGAGGCTAAGATTCACGGAGACTTCGCCACGGTCTTCAATCCGCGTGCTTTTTTATCCAGCAACGGCGGAGTTTTAGCTGAACCGGTACTTGTGAATTTCAGAGCAAATGCCTACTCTGTGTACCACTATCAGTAAGTCGGCTATGAGCCAGCTGATTTTCTCGAGTCGTCTAGTAAGTTAACTTCTGATACGCACTGAGCAGCCAATGTGACTCACGCCGCAGAATTCCACAGCGGATTCGAGTAAGCCACTTGTCACATCGACGATCTGTTAAAGCCGCAGTGCAATGTTGATTGATAGTTGCGACGAAGGATGGATCTGTAGAAGTCAACGTTTCCCATTTGATTCCCGGGCATGAAATTTTTGCATAGCAATCCATCATGTGCAACGGAAGGTGCCAATAACAATATGAAAATTGCGCGTTCATTACAGAACATTGTAAGTCAGACGAAGGGATTACCAAACCAACCATCAACTTTGATGTACAAACTTCGAACACCTATTATTCTTATGTTTCGATGCTAGAAGAATATGTTCATAACAGGCAACCTATTATTTGCACAGAAGTGAAAAAACTTCATGCCGCTATTGAGAAGATCACAATGAGTGTTGCTTCAGTCTCCCATTTTCACTTTTCAGTGTCTGCTCCAATAGTGGCAATGAAATCGCTTATCAGAATAAGGAATTCCATAGTGGACACTCCCAGCCGAGTTTCTTGTACCTCAACCAGAAAGGTATTGTATTATCCCTCTGAAAAAAGTGAAAGCTTTCACTTTTTGTAACTTCGATCAGAAGATTGTCTTATCCGCCGACAGGCTTCCATTCACTGATCCCGTCATTGAGGTTGCGTTCTACCAGTGCACCAGCACTTGCCTGAGCGGGGCTGCAGAAATGACACCTGATTAGGAAACCTTTCACCCGCTGAGAATATCAGAATTTCAGATCAATAGCGTTTTGTTGACTAAAATTCAACCTGTCCAGTTGGTACCGTGTAACCTCACGCCCTTTCCCTCCGATAGAGGATGTATTCCAGTTTCAGAGTTTGAGTTTAAATTGTTGTTATCTCTTACGTGGAGGCTTATCTGTCATGTTTAAACGGTATCGTGTTGTCTTTTACAGAAGTGGTAGCGAATCCGTTGTTGACTGGTACCTTCGTCATCTTCGTGCGGTTTGTGGCAGTCATCGCAACGCTGATACCTCCCAACTGTGAAAAACACCGACGATGTTTCGCAGCCTGCCTCAATTCCTCAACAGTTTGCGCAGCTGTTGGTAACCCGAGCTACGACGGAGATCATATAACGTTCGATAACGTAATATCATAGGGGTCACGTGACTGATGTTACAGTAGATTAGCCACGGTCTCAAACTTTCGCCTCTTGTCATTTGGTCGTGGGACCAGCAACGGCGCAGATCCATTGTTGCTGTGATTGTATTTTTATACAATTTTCATCCTAAATTCTGGTCCTAGTTTCATAGTAATTATGCATATAGAACATGACTTTACGTATAGTTTTGTCTATGGTCATGGCAGTTAATTTTTTGAACAACCTATTGCGCTTTATTCTTTGATATCCCTTTTAAAGCAGTAGACTTCTAAACTCCAATATTCAAAGTTCAACCTCTCATCTA